GTACTAGGAAATGTATAAAACTAATACTTTATGTGAATAAAATGAATAAAACACGTTGGTAGCCTTAGAATCAGAGTTATCTATGTTTATGCGGTTCTAGTGCGATCGCCTAATGTATATGCATTGGTGAATTATTGTTTGGTTAGGTTAGGCTTGAAGATTTATATGTATTACTGATGTTATTGTATGGTTATTAGGTAGATTTATGCCAGACTGAAGTTTCTTTATTAAAGTCCCTTACCTATTGGGCTGATATGTCGGAATAATGTTTTCAAAAAGTATGCTTCATTATGATCTCCGCGCCTAACAATATATATGAAAAAGATCAACATTATCACCTCTAAAAGATACTAAAAATTCAAGGTCTAATATAATTTATTTCACACATTTCCGGGTAATTTTAGGAATTATATACATTTCCTAGGAATTGAATACAACAATGGATTTTATACATTTCCGGTAAAATATAAAAGTATCCAGTTGCCTCTAGAAAGCCGACTGAAATAGAAAAGACGATAACAAATTTATTTTCTCTCAACTTCTTTGATTTCTAAAATACTTATATATCCACAAAGGGATGAAATGAATTATTGCCAGTTGTTACCATTGCGTTAAATTCGGTGCAGTTTTCTAAGAACAAGAGAAATATTCAATAGTAAAATTTTTTCCAGTGAAAAAAGGAGGAAGTGCCATGTCTTCACTCGTTTTTTCATGAAAGTGTAGCTTTAACCTAGCAAGGCATAGTATAATGTCATTCTAATTACTTGTATGCGGGGTGTCTTCTACATCCTGCTGCTTTAGCTCTGAGAGTTGGAGCGAAGTTTTGTTGCATGTCTAAGAAAATTCCCTTGATACGCCGGTGACGTTTCACGTTTCAAAGAAATTTAATTTTCTGAAGTGGCTCGTTTCCTTTGCGAAAGGTTACAGTTGCCGCGGATGTTGGAAAGGTAAAACTGGAAGATACGTACCTACAGACGACGTTGCTCTTGTTAAACAATAAACAATACGGGCAACGTTGTGCTTGACACGGCAAAATTAATTCCAGACCCCTGTACCTAGTCTAGATACATATAATTTCACCAGATGCTCCGATAATTTAAACCTTTCATTAGAGATTATTCATTGAAGACGAAACGCTTGTATAATAAGCGATGGTTTATCGTAACGTAGTAAGACGAGAGGCAAGGTGTGCCCTCTTAAACTATATTTTAAGCACCTGCTGCAGCCTTCCTCGCAACCCTTTATTTAATGTCTTGCATATTTAAAAGCGTAAGTTAGCGCAACTTTGTCTTATAATTTTCTGATGGTGCTTCATATTTGAAAAAATGTGTTACGTCAAAAAGATCAAGGGGGACAGCTTTAATTTGTCTCTGACGACTGTTGGAGGTTTAGTTTTTCATTTAAATTATAGTTGCAACAGAAACTAAAAATCAGTATCAACAAACTATGATAAATACTGTAATGTTCGTGGGTTTAACAAAATTAACTTCTAAGACTGATAACGACAAAAACTATTTATTTACACTAATTACTTATTAAAGAACTCAAAAACACTATTAAATTATTACTAAACTTAGGTTATGAATTATTCTATTTATTTACACTATCGTTGATATACCACTATTCACTGCGCTATTTATTTCACTGCTATCACTGTCAATTTATTTCTGGATTTACTTCTGCAACGATGAATTTATTTCTCCTCTCTCGGCGATCGTCCCTTCCTTTAAATAGTCTTTTGTTTACTTTCGGGAACCTTCTCGAAACATCCGGATAGTTTATTTTTTTCTTTGAACTGTTTAACTGCTTTCTCAGAACGCAGGAACGACACACAGATTTACAAGTACGGCGCACATGAAGAAAGACGCCCGCGGCTAGTCGGCGAATCGATAAGGCGTTCACGCACACGTGTGCCCGATCGCACACAAACACACTCGCGCTAGCTACAATACTAAGATGAAGAAAATCGGATTGATTCAGAAATGTTTTATTGAAATCACTCGAAGATACTCATGAAAATGTCATAAAAAGAAAGCGAAATATACATACAGTGTTGTCAATGTAATAATTGAGAATCATAGTTTATTAATATGGTTCAGCAAGACTTAACATCTTCGTCATTTGTCAATGGTGCATAATTAATGTATTGTAAAATTTCTTAAGACGGCTTACGGCAGAAATTGGTACCATTTCGTAAGAACATTTAATTGAAGGGCATATTGTTTATGTCGTTATTGAATTATTTATTGCTTGTTGGATGGATTTTGTTAATTTCGCATCCCCCGAGCAAACTCAAGGAACGTTTCTGTGATAAAGGACTGCGAGAATCGTATAAATAAAAAGTTAGATATATTTCTTCGGCATTTATTACCTGAAAAGAAACAATTTAAGCATAACGACATTAAAATGAATTGTCTTTTTTTGTTTAATAATTCGATTCCGATGTAACTTTGGTAAGCTGTTGAGTATAAAGAATGAAGAAATACTCATTTTTATACCTATACATACTATTGGTAAGATAGAACGGTATCGACACCCCAGCGGTATTAGTAAGTGTAAGCGAGCAGGCGGTTTAGGTCTCATTATTTAAAAAAAATTCTCCGTCGACATTTTCTGCGGGACAAATAAGAGAAAAATAGCAGAAATGTATATATTTTTGGGAAAAAAATTTACAGCTTCTATTACACATTAATCGCGATTACAGGATTGTAGAGGAATAGTTACCAATTTGAAAAATTGCACTATGACCATTTTTGGCCGATTTTCCGCCGTTCTCATAAAATATTTTTCTTTCACATTTTCGTGATTAATGCAAAAAATTATTTCTGCATAAAACCTTTTACCATAGTTAAGGACCCATAATAGCTACGATTTAAACCTAGAAGCAAATGTTGGTGACAGTTAGTATCCCTGTAATTAAATGTTATTAAAAATTATTACTTTTTATGTATTTTTTTTTAAAAGTTATCTATGAATCGATTTTAATATACCTCTCAGTTTTTTCGTCTTGCTTCCGAATATTTTTTGTTTCGCATCATCAACCACAAAAAATGGGTTTACAAAGGTTTTTGAATTTTTTTCACATAAAACCTGAGAATTTTTTTTTTTCTCCAAAAGTATATCTATACTCTTATTTCTACTATTTTACTTTTAATTGTACCGCAAAAAATGTCGACGGATATGAAAGTAGTTTTTTAAAAATTAATGCGTCCGTTATGCCGTCGCGCACATCTACACACATGAATTTTAATGGTATTCAATTGCAAATTTGAATGAGTGCACTCATTACCCTTTATTACTCTCCAAGTACTAACTCCCTTTATTTGTTTGCGTGAACTGATAGTAAGTAAAGTGCTAAAGATACACGCTGTTATATTTCATTTCTTCTCAATTCAGTCAACAAGTTTTACTTACTATTTAATTTCACTTGTTCTGATAGAATATTAAGTAATAATAGTTACCTATCGGGTATTTGTAACTAATTTTAAAACAAAACCATAGGGTGGAAGTCTACTGGAAACGCTGCTTCTCACAGCTTCAGTACAGTAATTTTAGCTGTAAATTGAACGAACTTTCAAAAGGTTACATTAAATTTATAACCAGTTGTTACTCACATAAAAAGTAATTGGTTAAAGACCTTTTTAATTTTTTATATCCCAACCAGATTAAACCAAACTCGCTGACTTAGGTGTATGACATTACTATGTCAGTTCTATCTAGTAATATTCTTATTGGACATTGCAGTTTTAATAACATATGGAGAACTTTCATATGGTTTAGTTTGATTTTTAAATATTGGATGAGTTCCATACATAAATATAATATATATTAATATCGCTTAGATAAGGGATCCAAGTAGGTAGGTACTACGAAATACAAAAGTAGGTAAATGCGGCAATAATAATACTTAAGTTTAAAATTTATTTAAATCAGGAGAGGTTATACTGTGGTTGGTCACTTGCTTAAACATTTTAACAATAAATATATGGTGTTCAGATGAGGTTAGCCTTCTAAGGGCTCGTATTGCACTTATATCTACCGTACTTTTCAATTTACTGTATGGACCATGTACATCGAACCCGTTTGTTTAAAACTATCTTAATCTATTTTGGAAAACTTGCAAACTGTCTTTGAATTATGTGAGCTGTCTTTTAATTATGTGAGCTATCTCAGAAACGAAAAACTACAACTTAAATTAACTTGAATATGTAAAGTGTTGGAGTCCCTTCCTAAATATTATGTATGGCAAGCTTCATTGGTTATTACAAATGGGGGTGGTTCTGGTAGACACAATAGTCTAAGATTTTACTATTTGACCCATTTTCGAGTGAAAATTTAAACATTTATGGGACAATAAAATTAAACGCTTTGAGTCCGTGATGGACCTGCACGTCACAATACATGACTTTATGACAGAATTATTGCTGTTAACCCTTGCCAATTTGTGTACACATTTAATTTTAATTTATTACAGTGCCATTCATAACACTATTTTTACGCACGAAAAAGCAGACATTAAAAGAACTGAATTTTGAGTGAAACGAATTGATGAATAGGACTCGAACATGTGGATTAGAATAAACTACTAGGTAGGCAGTTGGTTCCATAATATTTTATTTAATAACTGTCTAATCACGGCACTCATGGTCGAAATTCAATTAATTGTGTCTAAGGGAGAAAAATAATTGGATCGGTCGCGAAAAATTTTATTGAGATCAAGTTCCATGAACTTTCCGAGAAATCGAGATCGAGAATTCTTGGACAAAAATTCTAATCATCACACAAATAGGTAGCAGATAAGCCTTATGTATAACATAAGAAAATAAATTGTTGAAAAGGTTGTTAAAGTTGTGAAAATTCGAAAAAAACGTGACATAAGTTTGGTAATTTAATTGCTGAAAACGAAAGGTAATTTGATTTTATTTGTAAGATAAAATTCCACAGTCGATTTAACGAACATTAATTTTGCTGGTATAAATACAAAATTGCATGACATTTAATCCTATATTTACATAAAGATTTTGCAAAAATGGAAAACAATGTTCTTCGGGTGTATTTGTTATGCGTTTTACTTTCGATTGTTGGTTCCAATTGCGTATTTACACCTATAACTGGAGGAAGTCCATGCATCAGGGAGATAAGTAAGTATATAGATTTTACTTTTATAAGTAGAAAAATTGTTTATTCTAAAGATTGAATTTAATAATTTTTAAAAATTAAAATTAAATTTTTTATCAAGAAATGCCAAAAAATAAAAATGAATACCTACGGTTAATATTCAGAAACAAAAAGAAAATGTCACAAATGCCCGTTACTTAAAGATATTGCTAGAACAATATGGAAATTCAATTATTAAACGAATTAAAATATGGTTGAGAATATTGATAGAATTACGAAAAAAATTGGTTTTGTTTTTAGAGGAGTGTAACAGACCATATGAAGAATGTCAATGCGGGAGTGCATGCCAAGTTAAATGTTCAAATCTTGGAAAACCGTGTGACATCATAAATATTGCTTGCAACAATATGTGTTACTGCATCGCTGGCTTTGCTAGAAACGAACGAGGGGCTTGCATTCCTCAGAGTTTATGTTCTAATTGCTATTTCCGTTACTTTTTCCGGTATCATTCTCATGTCTGGCAAAAATAAATAAACACATGAGATGTTATTTATTGTATTTTATTCAACCAATTCAACATGGACGATCACATAAAAACTAATTTTTTCTATTCCTCGGGAACAGTATTGTTTTTCTGGATAAAAGATACTCTATGTCCTTTTGTGTACCCTTGACAATGCGTGTACAAAATTTCATGATGATCGGTTGAGTAGTTAAGGCGTGAAATGGTAACAAACTGACAAACAAACTAACATTGGCATTTAAACCTATAAGCTAGGATGCGGTAAATGATGTCTGATGGTACGATTGGTAAGACATTAATTCTCCGAAAGCTTATACAGTCTAAAATGATAAAAAGTATTTTCGTACAGGTTTGGATTCAAGAAAAATTATGTTAAGATTATTACATTCTCTAAATTTTACCTGATTGAGGGTTTACTGATTATTTAATCCGAATCACGATGCCTTTTTCGGTTGGGGATTGAGGCAAAAGTTTGTCTATTTACTTAAAGTTTACTATTATCCAAGTAGTTACATGATTGTGTCCATAGTTGGGACGTTCAAAATTGGCATAATCAGCTACAAAACTGTCGAATTTATTTTCTTCTATCAACTAACTAACTAGACCGGGCATACTCGGCTCTTTTGACTCCTCAGGTATAGCCATGGAACTCCTCATTGCTCCTGCGAATGCGAGTGAGATTATTCTTTCCTTTTTTTATCTCATCCATTTAGTAGGTGAGTCCCCTCTTCCATAGCCGAATCCAATAGTATTCCGACCGTAGTCTGGCATGCTACCCCTGAGCTGCGGGATGATCATTAGAAAATTTTCGTAGGTAATGTTTAAGTTACGAGAGAGGCTTCGCTCGTCTACAGGGTGGAGGTGCTTTATATGGGAGCGGAAGGGAGAAGAAAAAGAGAAAGCAATAAGGGTCATTACTGTTTACTCTCTCGTACTCATTGAAGGGTATGGAGTGACCCAAACCAACCTCAGGTAGTAGCTCCAACGAAGTTTTCCCGGCTCTGATTTTACTCACGACATAGAAAAGAGATGCCAGGTAGAAATAGCAGCGGTCGCTAATAAACAAAGGGAGTAACATTACACTAATTGATGTGTAACAGAAAGAGATGCAAATAAGCAGAATTTGAGCATATTGCCAGCATCGGACTATAAATAAAGTTCAACATTCTCAGGAATTTCGGAAAGTAAAGACGCTTCTTTAAGGATATAATTCCAACCAGGCGTTTATAAAGCCGATCCTGATCTTTAACGTAGCTAAACAATCTCTAACCTATGCACTGCTTACTGTTATTCGGTTGTTTCTTTTGTCTTTGTCTGTACTACTCATGAAGCATTTCCTAACCTAACAAGGGCGTGTTTAATACTCAGCAAATGACTACAATCCTAAAAGGAAAAAAGAATGAAGATGCATCTATTCTTGCAGATAAATTTACTGTGCACTCCGCCAATTTTGATCGTCTCACCTATACAACTAACGAAAAAAAACTGGTTTTAACTACTAAAGTTTAACAAGTATCAGACTACAAAACTGGACAGATGTAATAGGTAATTCCCTGACCAAGGCAACATCTGCTGTAAACAAAACAATCATGTTGCAAGTGCGTATAACCTTAATAACTTAATATTTAATCATTGTTAGGATCTTAAACGGTAATTCACATTATATATTTAATTTAAACAACAACAATGTATGAGTAAATGTTGAGGGTGTATAAAAAGAAAATTTTGTCTTGTATAAGTCAGTTGTTGTACAAGCTGCAAAAAGGTAAAGTCGTAAACATGGTTCGAGTTTCCACAATTCTTTTCATTGTCATCTTTGCTCTTGTGCATTATGGTTCAGCCACGAAGAAAACACCACGTAAGTACTCCTGTTTTTCTTTTAACAATTATTGTATTGTGTAACATATATTGTCTGGTAAAAATTGATACTTCACATATCGTCACATCTAAAAAATCAAATTAAATTTGCTTTCCACAATACCATATGAAACACATTACGAAACTCAGTACTGGTTAATAAAATATAACTGTGAAAATTTATTTAATTTTTATTNAGTTTTCAATAATATAAAAATTAATATTTTTAGAAATAAATTTAATTTTAAACTGATACACTTGGATGGTGCTTTTACTTCAGTTTTTAATTAATCGCCTTACTATCGAATTATTGTAGCCAGATTTTCCGCTTAGTAAAAGAATTTCATCAGAGCAAATTCTATATAAGTACGTCTAAGAAAATCATCAAAATAAAAACAGAATAACGTTCTCAAATTCGGGATGGAAACATTTCATTATCAAAAAATAACTGTGAAATCATTAGCCAAACTATAACTGTTTACTTTATTTTTGAAATATCGGGTTAATAAATTAAATGAAATATAATAAAATATTGCAAGATTCCAAATAGCACAAAAAAAAATTAATTCAATTATCTTTTGGTCCGGTCAAAAAGACTAAAACTTAGTTTTAGAAATCACCTTCCCTCATTTGGTTCACCATCAGGTTATTATCAGTCTTATAAAAGATATTGTCTGGCCTTTTGCATAGAGAATTTTTTTTCTGAATAATGCTTGGCATTCGGGATTGATGACCATGGTCTCTTTCTAAATAGGCACATATTATAAATTCAAAATTATTACCAGTGAAAAAGTTTGAAACATTTAAAAGCTTTATTATGTAATTAAAAATATTCTACAAATGCTCTCCTAAAAAACAAGAAGTTAATAATAGTTTACGTTTCGAATTATCGCATTAACATTAATTAAAACTTTGAGATTTAACACCCTGAAACTTACTTCCTTCCTTTTAGTAATAGAAGTTTGGTGGAATCGTCTTTTAGGTACAATTAATATCTAGAATCTATGGTTGACCTATGCCTCATTATTTACGAGCCAGCTTGTATATTTTAAAATTATGACATCCTGAAATACGACAAACTAATTTTGAGTAATTAATTTATCGCCTTGAAAAGGGATTGCATACTATTAATTACTATACGAATTTTATAGGAAAATTGTCTTAAATCTAATAATTAAACAAAACACCGGAACCAAAGTTTTCAATAATATAAAAATTAATATTTTTAGAAATAAATTTAATTTTAAACTGATACACTTGGATGGTGCTTTTACTTCAGTTTTTAATTAATCGCCTTACTATCGAATTATTGTAGCCAGATTTTCCGCTTAGTAAAAGAATTTCATCAGAGCAAATTCTATATAAGTACGTCTAAGAAAATCATCAAAATAAAAACAGAATAACGTTCTCAAATTCGGGATGGAAACATTTCATTATCAAAAAATAACTGTGAAATCATTAGCCAAACTATAACTGTTTACTTTATTTTTGAAATATCGGGTTAATAAATTAAATGGGATTGAGGCAAAAGTTTGTCTATTTACTTAAAGTTTACTATTATCCAAGTAGTTACATGATTGTGTCCATAGTTCGGACGTTCAAAATTGGCATAATCAGCTACAAAACTGTCGCATTTATTTTCTTCTATCAACTAACTAACTAGACCGGGCATACTCGGCTCTTTTGACTCCTCAGGTATAGCCATGGAACTCCTCATTGCTCCTGCGAATGCGAGTGAGATTATTCTTTCCTTTTTTTATCTCATCCATTTAGTAGGTGAGTCCCCTCTTCCATAGCCGAATCCAATAGTATTCCGACCGTAGTCTGGCATGCTACCCCTGAGCTGCGGGATGATCATTAGAAAATTTTCGTAGGTAATGTTTAAGTTACGAGAGAGGCTTCGCTCGTCTACAGGGTGGAGGTGCTTTATATGGGAGCGGAAGGGAGAAGAAAAAGAGAAAGCAATAAGGGTCATTACTGTTTACTCTCTCGTACTCATTGAAGGGTATGGAGTGACCCAAACCAACCTCAGGTAGTAGCTCCAACGAAGTTTTCCCGGCTCTGATTTTACTCACGACATAGAAAAGAGATGCCAGGTAGAAATAGCAGCGGTCGCTAATAAACAAAGGGAGTAACATTACACTAATTGATGTGTAACAGAAAGAGATGCAAATAAGCAGAATTTGAGCATATTGCCAGCATCGGACTATAAATAAAGTTCAACATTCTCAGGAATTTCGGAAAGTAAAGACGCTTCTTTAAGGATATAATTCCAACCAGGCGTTTATAAAGCCGATCCTGATCTTTAACGTAGCTAAACAATCTCTAACCTATGCACTGCTTACTGTTATTCGGTTGTTTCTTTTGTCTTTGTCTGTACTACTCATGAAGCATTTCCTAACCTAACAAGGGCGTGTTTAATACTCAGCAAATGACTACAATCCTAAAAGGAAAAAAGAATGAAGATGCATCTATTCTTGCAGATAAATTTACTGTGCACTCCGCCAATTTTGATCGTCTCACCTATACAACTAACGAAAAAAAACTGGTTTTAACTACTAAAGTTTAACAAGTATCAGACTACAAAACTGGACAGATGTAATAGGTAATTCCCTGACCAAGGCAACATCTGCTGTAAACAAAACAATCATGTTGCAAGTGCGTATAACCTTAATAACTTAATATTTAATCATTATTAGGATCTTAAACGGTAATTCACATTATATATTTAATTTAAACAACAACAATGTATGAGTAAATGTTGAGGGTGTATAAAAAGAAAATTTTGTCTTGTATAAGTCAGTTGTTGTACAAGCTGCAAAAAGGTAAAGTCGTAAACATGGTTCGA